AAAAATTCTGCATGACTATTATTTTTGACATTCTCTTAAGGTAACACCTTGCAACCCTCCAAGAATGCTACCTTCTTCATGTACTTCCCATTTTATTGATGCATTCACTCCTTGCAGTCGAGATTAAGCCTTACCAGAATGTCATAGGCACCAACTAAAAACTGACCATCCTGTTGGTGGATTGAAAGTGACAGGAAAAAGGGAAAAGAAGTAGAGTATAATTGCGGGTCAAATGCAGTTTAGATGGAGGGGATATTTTATTTTTAGGTTATCAGGGGGTTTGTCTCAGTAAATGCATATTCTCTGTGATTTTTTTACCCTCCTATATTTTAAAATAGACCCTCTTTTAAGTTTTTATAGATGATAATATGGAAGCACAAATTCTATAGCACACAATTTAGTCCTAATTAATTATAAACCAATTATCATCAGTACCATACCTTGCTTGTCGCATCATCAGAATCCTCAGAGCAACACTTCAAACAATCAGACACTAGCTCTGCAGAAATGGGAAATCAATAAATCATTTGCTGTAACTTAACATGGGTGAAAAATGAAATATTTTCAAGAATTATGAGAACAGAAAAATGTGGGAAGGTTGTTATTTTAGTTTAGTGTATCCTGCATAATCATGTAGCAAGGGTGCTTGAGTTTATAAATAGGAATTCCCATGTTGATTCGGGATAACAGAAGGAAATATCAACCTCTTCATGCATCTTTTGATAATTCAATCAGTATGTTCAGTTCATTCCTACATTTCTCTCTTGACCTATCTCCGATTTCACAATCCACGACCAGAAGATTCAGTCTTTGTTTTTATAAATCTTAAGCCATAGAGTTCAAACACAGTTCTCCAAGATCATAATTTCATGTAAATCCCTTCCATAATCAGAATAATAGGAAAATCATATTTATGTTTACAGTTAAAAACAAGAAAGGGTGCTAAAGATTGGATACCATACATTTCCTTTGAATTGCTTTATACGGCACTTCGTACATAGTTTCATAATCACACCTTTCCTATCATTTCAAGAATCTATAATTCCACTCAACAACCCCCCCCCCCCCTCGCCCCAT